TCAGCTTTGGTGGGCTGTTTCTCTGTGGGGTCCGGTCCCGAGCCAGCTCGTGGCTCAGCCCGCAAACACGGGTCAAGGGACGGGAGGTCTGTGCAGCTGGTTGGCAGGGACCCCCTGCCAGGAGCTATGTGGGTGCTGGAGCCCCAGGCACATTCCAATGGTCTACATGTAGGATGGTCCCTAATACATTTTTACAGTAAAACCCCTGGTGATGTGCAGCCAGTTTTTAAAAGGTTTAAAGCCAAACCAGCTTCTGCTGGGTAGTTTAGCCTGGCTAAACCAGGGGCGAGCTCCCAAAGGGGGAGGGATGGATGGGCTCTGCATCCCACCTGCCTGCCTGGGCAGCCTCCGGCCAGGTGTGGGGAAGCGTAGCTGGAAGAAGCTGCTGGTTTCATGCAGGAGCCAGAAAAGCTTTTCTGCCACAAGCTGAAGAGCACCTGGCCTGAGCTGACCTGGCGGAAGGTGCATGTGTGCCCCCAGGACCGTGCTCCTCAGCTTTGGGAGCTCCGCACCCAGATGGCCAGGGGTGACCCCCGGCACCGGCCGCTTGCAAGAGGCAATCTGCCCTTTGCAGGCATGTGGGGGACAAACATCTTCCTTCATCCATCCCTGGTCCCCCTCCTCTCTTCCTTAACTGGGGATCTGCAGAACAAGCCTCCCGGCTCTGCTCCAGCCTCCCCCAAAGCTGGGCAGACCCTGCCGCGGTGCCCAGCTGGCTTTGCAAGCGCCACCGGAGCCCACCGGGCAGCTCACCCCCAGCCCTGCTCTCTGAATTTGCCCCCCACCTCTATCACCCCTTAAGGTCTCCCTCTTGCTCCAGGCACCCCCAGGTCCCATCCAACCCTCTGTCCCAGGCCGGAGCCTGCCCTGACACCCCCCAAGCCTGGGGTGGGGAGGGAAAGGCCACCCTGCCCCATGTCCCCCCCACTCTGGCCCTTCTCAGCTTCTTCCCCTATTTTGGGAGCAGCGATCCCGCCCGGGGTTTATGGACAGTTTGGGGTGGCTATTTAAAATTACAGCTTCAGCTTTTGGGTGTGGGTCATGCCCCCTCCACCCCCCCAAACCTTTCCATGGTGTAAAAAAAAAAAAAAAAAGAAAAAAAAAAGGGAAAAGGAAAAGGAGATATTAAAACCCAACAAACGGGGAAAGGAGCACAGTCAGTGGTTTAGAGAAAGCAACAGCACCTTCCGAGACTATTAAATTAACATCAAACAAGACCAGGATTAATCAGCGGAGTCACAAAGCTCAAAGCTGGAGGGAGGGAGGGGAGAAAAGAAAACCAAATGAACAAAAATGGGAGGGGGGGGGGGAATAAATCCACCCACAAAAGGGGAAATATAAAGGCTGAGAATTAATAACACAGAGAGAGCGAAGGTGGAGAGGGCTGCAGACCTGGCAAGGAGCGCACGTCCTCGTTTCGTCCATCAGCAGGAGTTATGGGCATAGCAGCGGGCAGGCTTGCACTGGCATTCAGAGAGTTAAAAGCATTGGCACTGAGAGGTGAGCGCTCTTCCCACTGCTCGTCATATTTACCCATTAGGGCTTTCCTAATTATTGCCTCCAACCCCATGTTGGTACTGGAATTCTCTTGGACCGACTGGCTCCTACAACTGATTAGCCCTGGGAGATAACGGGAAGGGGAGGAGAGAGGGGACAGGAGATGGGGGGAGCCAAATGAGAAGAAAGATGGGGGGGACGGGGAAAGGGGAGAAAGGAGACAAGGGAGAAGGGAAGAAACAAACAGTCAGCACATTCTCGCAAAGCAACAAACTTTGTCATCTTGTTCTTTAAAGCGCTGCGATGCACCCGTCCTCCTCCTCCTCCTCCCCACTCCATCCCGCCCCGGGGCTTGGCGGGGGCTGACGGTGGGATGGCATGGGACTTACTCTGGGGTCTGGGTTTCTGGAGTCCTGCAGGCAGGGTTCCCTGGGGCCAAGGGCTTGGAGGATGGCGGGGAAGGGGTCTTTGCTGAGCCCTGGGGAGCGACTGCAAGAAGGGGGGGGCTGTGCCAGCCTCGGCATGGGGGCAGGAGTCACTTGGACGTGGGGTCCATACAGATACACACACAGATCAAAAGTCAGTGTGTCAGGAATTTGGAGGCCGGGGCAGTTTCCTATGGAGGAAAAGTCAGGGAAGGAAGAGGGGGCACCCCACAAAAACACTTGATCGGAAAGAAGTGCCTGGATTTGGCTCTGGCATGAGAGGTGGCAAACGCAGGCAGCCCCTGGACGAGGGGGCAGAGCCTGCAGGGCTGCCTGCGTGGGGTTGGGCTATGCCGGGGAGAGGGGAGAGTCCTTTCGTCCCTCCTCGCGCTCCTTGCAAGCCCCCTGCCCATCGCCCCAGCCCGCTCCCTTCCTCCCCCTGGGCCGGGTGCCCGCTGCGGCCCAGGGCCCCCTCCCGGGCCGAGCCACGTGCA